TGATATTGATGATACTTTTGGAAAAAGTGTAACTCACGAAAAAGCATTCCTACTGACATTGTGGTATTTAGCAAACTCCGAAACATTTAGACAATGTGCTGACAGATTTGATCTCTCTTTAAGCAGTAGCCACAAAGTATTGCTTAAAACATTAAAATTTATAAATTCATTGCAGCAAAGATACTTAAAATGGCCTAATAAACAAAAAAGTAAAAAGATATGTCAACAGTTTAAAAGTAAATACAATACATATACATGGAATTGTAGGAGCTATTGATGGTTGTCATATTAGAATAAGAAGACCTAAAGAACACGAGGAAGATTATGTAAATCGAAAAGGATTTCATAGTATTTTACTGCAAGGAGTTTGTGATTACAACAAACTGTTTATTGATGTTCACATAGGCGAAAGCGGTTCACTGCATGATGCCAGAGTGTTAAAAAAATCATCACTGTATCGTGCAGCTGAAGAAGATCCTAATTTTTTTAATGGGTGTTTTTTACTTGGAGATTCAGCGTATCCAAATTTAAAATGGTTGGCACCACCGTTCAAAAATTACGGCCAGTTAACAGAAAATGAAATACGATTTAATGTTAGACATTCTTCTGCTCGTTCGATAATTGAGCATGCTTTCGGTTTATTGAAAAGTCGTTTTAGAAGATTATTTTATTTCAATAATCTAAGAACAGATATAATAATTCAGTGCGTGATGGCTGCGTGCATTTTACACAACATTTGTATATTAACTAACAATTATGAATCAAATGTTCCAGAAATACAGATTGAAAATAACGCACATGAAATATTAAATGCTCGTGAACGAATGTTTTCGGAAATGTTTCACTAGACCTGTTCTATGTATAAGTCGTATGTCGTATTCGGAAGTAGGGTCTACATATATTTAATAATTTTCAAATTGGAGATATTTTAATGTAAACAAAATATTTTGTAACAAAACGTTTTTATTATAAATGTTTGTATTGTTATTATGTATGTAATATATTACACTCTTATATTGTACTTTTATATTGTACTCTCTATATAATGAAATATATAATGTATTATAAACTACAACATAAACTTGTAAATTATTAGAACCTAAATCATTTTATTGTGGTGTTTTACTTATAAAATGTTATTACATAAAGTTCTTGTACAAAATAAACTTATAAATTATTACAATGTAAACATAAATTATTATTGCATAAATCGTTATCAACCTTTTTCTTATAAAATGTTAAATATCTTAAGTGTTCTTTTTCAACTCTCTTTCAAAAATAAGGAAAATAAAAATAAAAGTTTTCTATCAAATAAACTTGTAAATTATTACTATTAAAAAGTAACTATTAATAATAATCATCATTATTACAGTCTTTTTCTCATGTTATTATAATATTCTTTCAACAATCTTTATTCTTTTTAACCAATCGAAATAAACTAAAGACTACCTGACTTTTTTAATGCAATGAATTCTTTCATTAACTTGATTTTTTCTTCTTCAATGGCTAATTTTCGTTTTCGTAATTCAATCTTTTCTTTTTCTAACGCTATTTTTTCGTCATTACGCTTCCGTTTAAAATTTTGTTTGACATTTTCTGAAGGAGTTTCCGTGTTTTCTTTAATGTTTCTAATTTCATTATTGTTTTCTTTAATGTTTATAATTTTATCACTGTTTTCATTATCGCTGTCTAATGATAAAGAAAAACTGTCATCTACAATCATGCTTGATGATGACGTGCATGGTGAATTTACAATATCTTGCGACTCTACGTTTGATAGGGAACTGAGTGTATGTGTAGATTGATTGGAAGGTGCTGTTCCCAGTATTTTGTCCATTACGTTAAAAAATTGAAATCTACAAGTTCCACGTCCGGTCGAATTTTTATTATCCTTTGCAGTTCTATATGATCTCGTTAAATTTTTCCATTTATGGTTGCACAGGTCCGCACTTACATTAAAACCTGAACTAATCATATCGTTTTCTATATTGGCCCAAAAGTATTTACGTTTCTTTGGGTGATGTAGCTCATCTTTGTGATCATCATAAGCAGCTATTAATCGTACAATTTCGTTGTGTTGCCAATTGTGTTTCTGTTCAGTATTTATGTTTGCTTTCAAAAGTTCTGAATGATCTGAAAAACATAATATACTTGTAATAACTGATATCACTAAATACTTGAAAACACTTTTAATAACAGATAGTATAACTTTATATTAAAATAATTACCTAATGTAAATATTAGGTAATTATTTTAATATAAATAGGTTTATTCTATATTTGTGTTGTAAATATTTGTATTATTTAAATAACTTAATGACAATATTTTTGTATAAATAAGTGTTGTAAACATTTGTATGAGAACAAATAAAAGTTCTTACTTGATTTGTCATATGTTGATGTACTTGTTGATAATTTTTTTCTTTCTACATTCTCCTTTGACTTTTCTGTCAAGCTGCTAGCGAAGTCATAATCTGAATT